GAAAGATCAGTGCTCGGCAGCTGAGTCGCCGGATTGCATAATCGTACGCACGGAGGAAGCTGCGTGCCCTATGTATCGCTGACCCTCGGCAAGTGGCGCAACTACCGACCCGACCCGACCCGAACTCAGAGTCGCGTGGCTCTGCGACTCAGCACCGCGACTCGGGCCGCGCGCTTTGATGTGGCGCGCCAAATTAATTGGCGCCACTATGTGGCAGCGGGAGCGCGGCCGGCTGACCTTGAACAGGTGGCTGGCTGGCCGTGCCGCGGTCCTGGTCGCCGGGACGGGCCGGCCTCCTGCCGCTGGTTCAGTTTGTGGCCACGGGGGACGCACCGCAGGGGACGGTGGAACAAGCCACCCGCGGCCACCGAGGCAGCGCCAGCAGCCTTTGATCGTCCCCTGACGCGTGTAGTCGATCGCATCGCTTTGCCGGCGCAGTGGTCAGCATCAGAGGAAACATGAGTCATGAGCAAAACTGAGATGCACAGCACCACCGTCATAAGCTGGCTCGCACGACTACATCACTGCTCGGCGTCCTGAGCAGGAGCGCCTTCCTCTCACCGAGTCGCAGGCCCCACAGAAATAAATCACTTGGAAAGCATCCACACCCGATCGTGCCGGCTTGCCCACCAAGCAGTTTCGAACCCCCGCGCACCCTGCACCACGGCCCTGCGAGACTGCAACGCAGTGCACCAGCGGCGTGCGGCCTCGGCGCACCCGCCCGCACCGCCCGCCGGACTAATCCGCTTGTTGCGTCTCCGTCCCGGTCCCGGCCCATCCCGCACCTGAAGCCGACGGCCCCGGCCGGCAGAGGGGAGGAGCGCAGGCAGAGCGGAGGGGGCCGCGGGCCGGCCAGTCAGCTCCGCGTGGCCGACGTGACGCTGGCGCGTGCCGTCTGGGCGGGTCACGTGGCCGGCATCCGCCCGCGACCGCGCGGCTCGGGCCGAGTCACGTGACCGCGCGCCGCGCCGCGGCGGGAGAAGCGGCGGCGGGCGGTGGCGAAACGCGTTAGGTTGACGCCGCCGGCCCAGGCCGGGCAGGCGCACGAGTGGAAATGCCGACCGGTTGCGCGGCGGCAGCTTTGTCCCGTTGCGCCATTCTCCTCCGAGGCGCTGGTTCGACGTTTCTGAGCGTGATTTATGCACCCAGCGAGGTGATGCAGCCGAAGGGTCGATGACGAAACTAATGCAGTGCAGATCTGATTCGTTCAGATGGTGGGGGGGGGGGGGGAGGGGTAAGGAGCGAGATTATAAAAGTGGCTACCCATTATAACATTGGAAAGGAACGCTCTGCCAGTGCAATGATGAAAAATCGCATTCCTCAGCAATGTAGAGGAACGATAAGACACATGACGCTGGAATATCGAAACGTGGCAACATCGTGCGTGCATGAAGTGAATGCATGCATATATATATATATATATATATATATATATATATATATATATATATATATATATATATATACGAACTACTGAAAACAACTAAACGAAGTCATCATCACGCAGGAAGGGCGGAACGAAGAAGAGGGCAGAGAACGAATAAAAAGGATGGCAAGCAGCGAGAACGCATGCACACGAAGAGGCCGTGAGATCGAGGGCGATACAGCGAAAGAGCGAGAAAGCCAGAGAACACGGAGACAAAAGAAAAGACGAGGAGAAACAGATCGTGTGAAATGCCTGATAAGAGGGGGGGACAGGATAGAGCCGGGCGACCTGGACCAGCCCGGCTCCGCTGATAAGAGGGGGGGGGGGACAGGATAGAGCCGGGCGACCTGGACCAGCCCGGCTCCGCTGATAAGAGGGGGGAGGGACAGGATAGAGCCGGGCGACCTGGGCCAGCCCGGCTCCGCTGATAAGAGGGGGGGGGGACAGGATAGAGCCGGGCGACCTGGACCAGCCCGGCTCCGCTGATAAGAGGGGGGGGGGACATGATAGAGCCGGGCGACCTGGACCAGCCCGGCTCCGCTTCGCCGCCGCGCGCCGCGCGCCGGACGCCTGAGTGTTTACATCCCAGCCCGTCTGTCATCCCGCGCGCCGCTCCCACGCTCCAGTGCCGGAAGCGGGTCGGGCCGCGCCCGGGGCGCCGTGCGACGCGCCGGCGGAATGTGCTGCCGCTGTCGGTGCCGGTGCCGGTGCCGGTGCCGGTGCTGGTGCCACCGGGGCTCGGCTGGCCGCGCGGGACGGAACGCGGCCGCCGGCGGCACGGTGAGCACCTGTGCCAGGGGCACAGGTGCTCAGGCGACAGGCGCCGGACGACAGGTGCTGGACGGTAGACGTCACGGCTCCAGTCACGGCGGCGCGACATACGTCATGACTCCAGCTACGGCGGCGTGACAGACGTTACGGCTTCAGTCACGGCAGCGTGACAGACGTCACGGCTCCAGTCACGGCAGCGTGACAGACGTCACGGCTCCAGCCACGGCAGCGTGACAGACCGTCACGGCTCGTCACGGCAGCATGACAGACGTCACGACTCCAGTCACGGCAGCGTGACAGACGTCACGGCTCCAGTCACGGCGGCGTGACAGCCGCGCCGACAGCCGTGGCCGCTGAGCCAGCCGGTTCACCACCTCGTCCTCGCCGAGGGCTGCATTGGCCGATCAGGTCGGCGGGCCGCCCGCGACGGGCACGCGTCCACGCCAACGCGTCGTCCAGGACGCTGACGTGGCTGCCCACGGCTGATCTGACTTGGGTCGACCCTGGTTCTGGCCGATCTGACCCAGGACCGAGCGACCAGAGGTGATCTCCCGGCGCCGACTCACAGACGCTCCCTGGTCGTCACCGGCCGCGTGCACACTGGACCGCCATTGGCGAACCCCGCTTGGACCGGCCACGTGCCCACCCATCCGAAGGCGGGGGCGATAAAAAAGGCCCGGCGAACTGCGGGACATCTGAGCTATTTAGCGATAATGCGCGTGGGGGCGAAAAACCGCGTAGAAGCCCTAGCGGAGCGTGCAAGAAGGGCGGACGTACTCAAGCATGGCGACAGAAGAAACATTGTCGGCTTTTGAATAAAACATACGCTCAATATGCCCCGATGGATCATTGCCGGCAAAAAGTTCTCCGACGAGAAATGGCAATCCACAGCTTGTTTAATTCAGGTTATGTTCGGAGCTAGTCATGCCTCGACCCGTCTAGACTTAATATCCACCTAGAAAAACGCCGAAATCTAGCCAGGTATTTGCCTTCGGAGATACAAAAGCCCCGGACGAACAACTACTCTTTGTGCACGAGGACATCTATGTTTCCGAGCGCGTGCGTTCACCTCTTTTTGCCTATCCCCGTCTGTTTTGTGCATTCGATGTCCGATTGCAAAGTCTGAATATGAATGATGATCAAAATGGCTGCCGTTTTGTTTTGCCGCGTCGCATGTGACTGGCGTCCCGTGCCGCTGCTTATTGGCGCGCATGCGGCGATCAAAGGCAGGCAGCCAGCCCCCGCCGCGCGGTCGACAGCGGTACATTCCGCCAAGACCGAGCAGCTGCTCTGCGTTGTTTTCGCGAATGTCTGCCGTGATCAGGCAGCCGGGATGCATCGCCAGCACTGATGCCGGCGCTGGAGCTCTTGCCAGGCGGTGACCCTCCCAGCCTGCAAGGGTCCAGCGCCTGCTAGCGTCTCGGCGCGGCCGCGGACTGCTTCATCCCTAAGGTCAGACACCTGGGCGCAGCCACGGATCGGTTCAGCCTAACGCTTAACAGCGTGGTGTCGCCTCGGATTGGTCCAGCCCTGACGTCAGCCGCCTTGCGCGGCAGCTGGTTAGCTTAGCCCTGACGTCAGACGCCCTTGCGCCGCCGCTGATTGGTTCTACCCCGACGTCTGACGTCTTGGCGCCGCCGACTGGTTCAGCCCCGACGTCAGACCCCTTGGTGCCGCCAATTAGTTCAGCCCTGACATCAGACGCCTTGGCGCCGCCGCTGGTTGGTTTAGCCCTGACGTTAGACGCCTTGGTGCCGTCGCTGATTGGTCCAATCCTGACATCAGACGCGTGGTGTTGGGCCGCGTCAGCGCAGCGGCCGAGTGTTCGGTGACAAGCTGAGGTCACCGGTAGCGCCAGAGGAGACTCAAAAGTGACCCAGCCACACGACACCGGGCGCCGCGGCCAGCGACGTCCGTCGGGACACTTCTATGGAGCCATTCTCCCCCGACTGACAATAATACCATGGGAGTCGCGACACCAGTAAGGCCCATCTCGCTCCCACCTCTCGCGCTCCCGACAAGTGCCCTTCAGAGCACGTATTTTTTTTTGTTTTAAAACATGTCCTTTGTTTCCGGTTTCGCAGACCACGTGACTGGAACACGTGGCCCAAAGTTGCTGCTGCTCGGTAACGCAGCTGAGGCCCTCAAATGATCTGCTGAGTAGGTGCGAGGGTAGATGTCAGAGCTTAATAAGCATCACTTCACCCGGTAATGATTTTTGTACGCGTGAGAAGGCACGAAGGGGCATTTACAGAGAGGCACGAACAAGTGCCATTGTTTCTGCTGGTTTGCTGGTTACGCTTTGGTTGGTTGTAACCAGGCTGATCAATGGTGCCAATAGAATTGGGACGTGGACAGGATGTGAACGAAGACCTGGAGCATTATCTCTCGTTGCCAGCCGAGAGATGAAGAGCGAGTATAGCTCGATGCGAACCTAGGATCAAATATCTTCCACGACCACAGAAACCAGCTCCATCCAGCCGATACATACGTATGCGCACTCATCTGAAACTGCCGATGCCCTCCCCCCCCCCCCCCCTCTACTGAAGCGCTGGCCATAAGCTAACCTACGACATGGGTCACCTGCGCAGCGCCACCATTATCCGTGCCACCCGTCCGCTTATTTCCGCCGAGCCGCGGACAGCGCCGCTCCGATCACCCTCCAGCTCCAGCTCCAGCTGCAGTTCCGGTACCAGTACCAGTATCAGTATCAGTACCAGTACCAGTACCAGTACCGGTATCAGTACCAGTGCCAGTACCAGCTCCAGCTCCAGTCAGCGCCCAGCCGTGCCGTGCCACTCACCTTCCAGGTCGTCCCAGAGCCGGTCCGACTCGGTCGGCTGCGCGTCGTACTCGAAGCTCACGCCGCTTCTGACTAGGGGGTCGGCCCGCTCGCCGGGCGCCTCGAGGAAGAGCGAGGCGGCGCCGCCGCGCGAGACGAAGCAGCGCCAGCGGCCGGCGTCCAGACCGTCGTCCTCGGCCCAGAGCAGCTGCAGCCGCCGGTGCGTCTCGACGAAGATGCGCGCGCCCCGGCTGCCGGCCTCGACGCGCAGACACGCGCGGAAGTCGAAGGCGTCGGACGGGTCGAGCGCCACGCGCAGGGCGCCCTGCGGGTAGCGCCACTGCACGCGGCCGGCGCCGCAGCCCAGCGAGACGACCGTCACGTGGCCGGTCGTGCCGTGAGCAAGCCCGCTGCAACAGAGGCAGGGTCGCGGGTTAGAGGAGAAGGCTTGCGTGGCGCGGATGCGAGGAGCGCGCTTCAGTGACGACGAGTGACGACAGTGACGACTCTGGGGGAGTTCGGGGGGGGGGGGGACGCGGTTTGTGCATCGATTATTTCCATACAACGCTATGGAGTCAACCTTATCTTTTTTTGAGCGAGACGAGGTAACTGTCCCTCCCTCTCGCCGTTGTGCCAGACACATTCTCTGAGATGCGGCAGCATGAGCTCATCGTGGGCCCAAGCCGTCGCCTGAGTGCCGTGATCTGTTTGAACATCAACGGTCACGCGCGGCGGCGGGCAACGGAGGGCAACGGTCACGCACTTCAAACTTCCTGGACGGAAGCTCAGGAACGCCTTAAAGAGCATAGGAAAGTCAGCTGCGCGATACCGCACATTGCAGTTTACCCTAGTCATGCAAATCGGCGGGGAGCAGCAACAAGACCATCGGACGGCAGCCAGAGGAGCGTGGAATAGGCCACCGTCATACTGCGACCCGCCAGTGTCGCTCACGCGCTCTTCCGCGCAAACGCCGGCCATCAAGGCGCGCCATTCGACGAGCGCGGCCGCTGGCGGACGGGCCGCGGCCCGCTACGCCTCCAGCCGCATTAACGCCCGAGAGGCGAGTGTTTTCTTCGTCTTCCCGACGCATACCTGCGCAGAGTGGCAAGATGGCGGCGGCCGGGCCGCGGGCAGCGTCGGCCGTTCGGCGCCGCCGCCGCCGCCGCCGCGATAAGATAATGCTAATGCCCGAGTCAAGTTCGTTTATCAGTGTATTAGCGAGCGGTGCCAGCTCGGTCGGCACGGGCGGATGTGGACCTGACCATGGCAGTGCGTGGGGGGGGGGGGGACCTGACGACACCGTTGCCGTCGGCACGGGAGGGGCGCGCCTCAGGGCGCCGGCCAGCCGCCGGCGGTGACGGTGACGGGGACGGTGACGCGGCGGTCCTGCACTGCGCGGACCAGGCGCTGGGCGAGGTCAGGTCACCGGCGGACGGTCGGCGGATCGTACCGGAGATCGAGAGACAGCGGATCGTATCGGAGATCGAGAGTCAGCGGATCGTATCGGAGATCGAGAGTCAGCGGATCGTATCGAGGGCCGAGAGACCCAGCAGTCCACTAAGGCAGCGGCTCCATTCCGCGACAGGCCAACTTTCAAGCCGACGCCGACTTCCACACCGCCAGTTCAGAGCGTCAAATGCCGCCCGAGCACTGCGGCCACGCCAGTCGCTCGCGGTTGTTTGATGACGAGATGCGCCAGACGGCGCGGGGGCGCTATGTTTGGATTGTTTCACAGATATACATATGACTGCCACCAACAGACAGAACATCCTCTCAGTTTCCATTGGGTACGCCCCGCAAAATCGGCGGTATTTTCCAGATGTGCATCGACGTCCGTGGGTGCTGCAGCGGCCGGTCTGCCCGCAGTCCGCTTAAATTCCTCTCTAAAGTGACCTCGGCGCGCGGGTCCAATTAGATGCTCGCGGGAGGAGCGCCAAAAGACGGGAATATGAATAATCAAAGTCCAGGCGCATTCTTCGGACCCGCCACGAATTAATCACTCCATTTATAAACAGCCGGCGTCGGGTGATGGCAAAACAGGGAGGCCGGATGGCGTCTGGAATTTGACGGCCGGCTTTGATCAGGCCGGAAACAGGCCTGATCCGGCTGGCCATCAGCCTAGCTCTGACACACAGCCACCAGCCTGGCTCTGACGCACAGCCACCAGCCTGGCTCTGACGCACAGCCACCAGCCTGGCCCTGACGCACAGCCACCAGCCTGGCCCTGACGCACAGCCACCAGCCTGGCTCTGACGCACAGCCACCAGCCTGGCCCTGACGCACAGCCACCAGCCTGGCTCTGACGCACAGCCATCAGCCTGGCTCTGACGCACAGTCACCAGCCTGGCCCTGACGCACAGCCACCAGCCTGGCTCTGACGCACAGCTACCGGCCTGGCTTTGGCACACACCCACTATTCACAAGTTCACGCACTAACAAACAGGAAGGCGGATTCTCCGGCGATAAGTGTAGAATTTATCTGTCACGCGTAATTGAAATGCTCCATCATCTCACAGTTCAAGCGCCTTCGACGTAGTGTCCTAATTGACCCAGCTGCACCTCCGGGAGAATTCTGGAGCCTGCGGGTGGCCGCCGGCGCAGCTCGCCAGCGCCGCCAGGCCAGAAGACCCCGGCTTCAGCCACGCCCGGCGCCGCAGCACGCCGTCCGACCGCCGCCGCCTCGCGACCCGCGCCACTTTTTGCGCGCGGCCGCGGGAACCGGTCGGCGCGCGCCTTTTTTCGGGGCGCCGGTGCGCGACCGGACAGTGACGCGGCTCTCCCAGCGCGCCGGTCGGCGTCGACCGTGACCGGTCACTGGCGGGCCGCTCCGACCGAGTAGAGGGCGGGCGGCGGGCGGCGGGCAGCGGGCGGCGACCGAGGCCAGGCGCCGCACGAGCGATCCCCGCCCGCCGATTAGGTCCCGATCGGGCCCGGCCTTCTCGGGTAGGGCACGGGCAGGCGCCGGATCGACGCTGGCCCCCTGCACCGGTGTCATCGGCGGATAGCGCCAGCGGCGGCTAGGCTAGGCCGACAGCGAATGTCGCAACCGGCCAGCTGGCGCTGCGCTGTTTGATCCTTCCATACAGTCTGGACCAACAGAGCACCACAGATGGCTCTTGAGCAACAGGTGTAGCATGAGAGCGATGCACCCTTTGATTGGCTGGCGTCGCCCGGCGACAGGCGTGCAAACGACCTTAAAATGTCGAGAGCGGCTGATAGGCGTCGCATGACACGGGATTACCAGTCCCACGGACGCGTTACCGGGCGGCGATCGACCGTGTTAAGCCGGCGCCCCATCTCAGAGCGCGCCGCTAACACCCGACAGCTGACAGCCGAGCCGGAGCCGGAGCCGGAGCCGGAGCCGGAGCCGGAGCCGGCGCCGCAGCAGGCGGGTCGCCAGCGGGGCCGGCTGTCACCACCACTCCCTAGACGGGGCGACATGTCGCGTGCGCCGCACGGGCCGCGACCACCGCCCCTCCCCTGCCCCGCCCCGCCCCGCCCCGCCGTGGCCACAGGCTGCAGGCGCAGACGCAAGCGCTCGTGTCCGGCTGGCCGTCGCCGGTACCGAGCGTGCAGGCGTCGTGCACTGTGCAGCGTGCAGCGGCGGCGCGCGGCGTCCGGCCCGCCGGCCAGGAAAACAGCGCGCCCACCCCCGTCACGGCACCGATCGGGATTCCCGCCGCGTGCCGTGACTAGCTAATTGAGGCGACGCGGTCTCGTGCCGCGGCTACAAAATGGCCACTTCGCCGCCAAATCGGCCGCTTTGGACGGGGAAAAAAGCAAACCGCCGAAAAACTGGACCTAGTTGAAGTGGCGCCTTTCCGACGCTTGCGGCAAAAAAAACAGAGCGGGGTCGCGGCTCGTCGGTGGGACTGGCGAGCGTGGACGACACCGCGCTGCCCCTGGGTCAGGCAGGCGTGACCCGGCGGGAGGGCGTCACTTCCAGGCAGCGGTCCGGTCGTGACCGGTCACGTGGTGCGGTGACCTGACCCGCCAGGCAGCATAGATCTGCAATAGGGGGGGGGGGGGGGAGAGGAGAGGGCGTGCCGGAGGCACCTGTGTGCCGGCACGCCCACTTTCGGCGCTCGCCAACGTCCTTGTGGATTGCAAACGCGTTACGATTTACTAAGGCAATATGACGCGAGAGAGCAATGGCAGCCCGATAGTGAAATCTCCAAATGGAAAAATCTCAAAGCAATCTACTCTCATCTAAAATCTCAGAAGCAAACTGTTCTTGATATACAAAGTTGGTGCTACGGTGTACTGGAAGCAAGCGAAACGCACATGCGAAATAAAGAGCAAGGAAGCGAGTATCAGTGGGTATTGAGTCCGTGGTTAGTGTGTTAGAGCCACCACGTGGTTCTAACCGGTTATAACGATGTCTTAGCCGGCTGGTATGCTCTATTCAATGCCACTGTGTCGTAAAGTGACTTCTATTGGATCCTCCCCGTGTCAGCCCACATCAGTTTCTAAAATGATGTTTAAATTTATGATGGCACATACGGTAAAAATGTTGTCAACAATGAAGATCGCCAAAGTCGTCCGAAGACGATTCTTATGCATGATGATAGTACCAGCTATCTTGATATAAAACTGCTACGTAACCCCTTTAACACTACGGCTACTGGGGCCGGGGGGGGGGGGGAGGCGCCAGAGTATCAGAAAGTCTCTGAATTCGATCGCCTCTTGAGTGAGAACGGGACTGAGCCTGAGCGGGACGGAGCCTGACAATGACGGACTTCATGAACAGACTGTAATGGCAGGCCACTCTCGAGTCGTATTGTATTTAAAACTGAACAAGATGACCGTCTCATGTCTGTCGCTGGGTCTTACGCCTTGTGCCTAATTGCCCTGGCGCATTAACTAGAACAAAATGCTTCGATGTGGCACCAGAATGGCTTCTGGCATGCGAATTTGCATCAATGGGGGTCATGCCTACATTTCCTCGACACTGCGGACGTTAACCCCTTAAGCGCATACAGTCAACATCAAAGCGCTTCGCTTTGACTCGGGACGTAAGTCAAGCTCCGAATCATGTCACTACATACGTTATTTTTACAGCTTTGCAGTAGTTTATTGCTGCGGGTTAAAATTGAGTCATTGCTTGATTCACGATGGGGAATTAATTTACAAACGTAACAAAGAAAAGAGCTAAGCTACGTGCAACCGGTTCTGACCGTTTGCTACTGGTTCAACTAGTGCCATGATCACCGTATAAAAATAAACAAGCAAAATTCGCGTTTGTTCCATCTACCCGCGCAACAGCTTTCAGACCAGTGGCGCTTGGTCTACAGATGTCTCACGAGACGTATTACCGCTAGTACAATGTATGCTCCCACAGCTTCCAAATACCTCCACGCACTCCTGAGTGCAGTCAGGTCTGGCAGACTGGGCCTTGGTCCTGTCTGCCAGGTCCTGGTCCTGCAGCTGACGCCCAGCAGGCAGGGGTCAAAACTCACGCTCAACAAACTGTACCGACCACGGAAGACTACAGGCTACACAAACTAACTACAGACTATGCAGACTCTAGAAGACTGTGCACTATAAAGAATAAAGAAGACCGCAGACCATGCAGACTATAGAAGACTAGTCTGCACAAACTATAGAAGTTCTGAGGGCTGAAAGACCACACATCTCTAAAGGAACTCATAATTAGATATGTTGATCCTGAATCTGAACCCTAGTCATTTCTGAATGCTTCAGAGCCAGTAGTGATCCTGATCGCACGCTGCTGGACGCTGACTGTGCGTTGTGCGAGAGGGCCTGGTGCATTTGACTAGTCAACTTCACAGAAACGGGATCACAAAGCAATGGTCACGATGTGCTGTATGCTCGAAGACGCTGAGGCAACACGCGGGAGATGGTACAAAAGGCACCTACGCATCCGCCGTCGCTTTTCGCACGCTTGTCGAGGTTATCTTTGAAGGGGGACGGCAAGGCCGAGGCTGAAGCTTGTAACAGAAATATGGCGGGGTTCAACCACCACACCCTCCGCTGCACCAAAACCTGAACACTACGCACAACGTTCGAAATCCCGTGCCCATCAACACACGGTGGTCAACACACTTCTTGTGATACGGACTGTCGCGAATCCTGAAACCAAGCCATTTTCGTTAAGAATGAACTAGTGTAATTATTTATGTTGCCAGGTTCCAGTACAGCATCGGAGCGCGACGTTACGCATCGCGGCCGTGAGGCTGTGCCAAAGGCCCTCGGCGAGTCGGTCGTCAATGCTTTATCACGCAAGTTTCGCAGCTACAGAACAAGCTGATCGCAGTGTCAGCCAAGCGGCTCAAACCAGCTGATCACAGCCTCAGCCAAGCAGCTCGTTTGCCGGAAGTCAGTCGCGTGCGTTTGTCTCCCAGCAACCACGGCTTTCTCCGACCACTTAGCAACGGAGCGTTCAGTCACGCGCGCCAGCGTCTGTTCCGGCTATTGGGCGCGCGCCGGTGGCGTCAGGTGTTGGTGTCGTGGTCGGCGTGACCGTCTCCGTGCACCTGTTCCCACGGCCCGGGAGACTCGCACGCGCGCTCAGATAGTGCGCCTCCGCGCTGCCGCCGCGGCCGGCGCCGGATGCGTGACAGGCCGAGGCGACCGGAGCTGATTGCGGCTCTGGGAGGCTGCGATCGTAGACAGGAGGACCACAGCTGAGCTGAGGGGGGAAGGTGCTGCACGTCGCGTGCAGCGCGCACGGCGAGCAGGACCGGTGATGAGCTTGGCTGAGTCGCCTTGACCCAAAAACGACGGCTGGACGGTTGGCTCTCCAGCTTTATTCCACACGAAAATACATAAATAAGGAGAAGCCCGTGCTTCCCGTGCATGGTACCAACGTGCGCGTAAAACAGTCTTTCAAACCTGTCCGTACTCATCCTCAAATGTGGATGGGGGCTAAGTTATGATGAGCTTACTATGAGTAACGGGGCTCGCTTCCTGGGAAAACCGTTGGTTTCGTGCCAGCTGACAGTTTAAGACGGTTCTTACCACCCCCTCACGGCGAGCACATCAACGTAAAGCGCTGTTTACCGTAGCCGCTCCCCCCCCCCCCCCCCCACCTGAGAGCGACGACGTACAGAACGTACACAAGACCCATCGTTCAGTTGAACAACCATCGGCTAAGTCGGACCGCCAATACCCGCTGCACCAAGCAGGGTCTCAAACTGATAACAGGCCCGTGGGGAAAAACAAACCTCAGCTAATGCACTATTCTACGAACGCATGTGCCACATTAATGACGCCACGCGGCACTGCGAGCGATCACTGCAGCAATTGTACCTTCAGACTCCGGCAAAGCCCCTGTGACTTAATGTTCCTGACACGAGAACATCGACTTAAGCGAATAAGCACACTAGGGAGGGGAGAGGAGCGAGCAAGGAGGGGATTACCCAGCGCACGGTCTCAGCACATGGTTGCCACGAACGCTTCCGAGATTACACCTGTCACCGTGGGTTTCTCACCTGCCCTTCCAGTCACAGGTCAGGGCCGCCCCCGAGCCAATGGCGGCAGCCAAACACACTGCCAGCATCCATCCGATCTTCCAACAGTGTACCTCCATCTCACTACCTGCACAGGGCAGACGCCATCGTCCAGAAATGTGGGACAGCCCAACGTTCCCACGACCCCACGCACCCGGCGCAACCCCGAGACTAACTGAAATCTGCCCGGCAGCCGGCGCATAACTAGCGCCACGTGCGGACAGAATTCCAACTAGCCGGCCGCTGGCTCGTCCCGGCTTTCGGCTCGCCACCGCCGCGCGACCAAAGTCGGCTGCGCTGAAGTGGCGGCTGCCCGCGGCGAAAGTGCGACCCGCGGATAAAATTGGCGGTCACGTCAAGAGTGATGGCTGGAGGTTGGGACCCGAGAACCATTTGACCCTAGGGCGGCCCAACCAGTTGAGAAAAATGCCACCCATTGACGATGTACGCTCACAGGTAGCTACAAAAGGGGCACAGAAGAGTGGCAAAAATAGAAAGGGGAACACAAAAACGTTGCGTGTTTGAGAAGCGGGAAAGCAATATAATCACCAAATTAAGGAGTGAAAGCTGAGAGGAACTAATCTTTGCCGACAGTGGCCCCCTTCAGTAACAAATAAAGTAAGCTCCGTTGGGTCATTATTTCCGATCGGGGAATCAGAAACCCATGGTATTACAGAGCATGGTTCAAGGATTGGTTCGCGGATGGGCTGTGCCGCGGCCCTCCAGATATAATGCTGTATGATCTACAAACTGTTGGTAGTTCTGCCTATGCCTATCAAACTAACCCGCCTAGATTTGCACGGTGTGCTACATCACCGTGCATATCAGTTATTCGCGCAGCTGTGCGTGCGAGTAAATGGAAAGCTGGATGTTGGTTACGTTTATATTCATAAGTTAGGAAAGCCACTGAAGTGGTGATAGCGTTCCACAAAGGCACTTGTCATCTTGCACTTTTCGGCTCGCCCCGCAGTAACTCTGACCTACGCTGCGAGGTCACTAAGTTTTCCCTTGCCTGTCATCTTTACGTCCGCCTCATCGACGCTTCCGATGTTGATTTCATACAGAATGCCTTCATGTCATGAAGGTGCATTTCTAGGTCAAAGTGCAGGCGGCAATAAAAAAACTAAAAATGGCATGTATGTATGGCATGTTATCATTCTTGAAAACATAATAATGCATTCCCGGATGGATATCAACATTATTTTGACAAGCCCGCATCACTAGTTTTGCGGTACTGCACGCACCCACGAAGCACGTATGCTTGTGCTTCTCCACAACGCTGTATACATATCCCTGATGTTATGCTGTCTCTTCTTAGCTCAATGTACCATGCAAGCGACTGAAGAATAGAAGTCTTGGCTAAACCCATGGAGCTGGACACAGTCAGCTTTTTTCACCGACGCAACCCAGCTCCTGTCTAAAGGTTTCACAGCCTTAGAGCTTACATCGCTGCGAAGTGCGAACCCCTCAGGCTTCAGTAATCAAACGTCTACCTATTTGATTAAGCAAATGCGGTTCCTCACTTTGTTAGAACCTTGTCGCCATATTCGCCGGAACGGTGTTTGGTGAGCGCCCATTGTTCGGCGAGGGCTGGACATTCCCGGCGTTTTATCGCCCGCTCCGCCTGCCCACGGCTGGGCCAGCGGACCACAACGGGGCGCTCCAGCTCGGTTCGACACATTGAGCCGCGCGAGCCAGCCATCGACGCATCAAACCGCGTGAGTCGGGCCACCGACACATCGAACCACGTGAGCCGCGCCACAGACATATCGAACCACGTGAGCCGGGCCACAGACACATCGAACCATGTGAGCCGCGCCACCAACACATCGAGCCACGTGAACTGCGCCACAGACACATCGAACCACGTGAGCCAGGCCACAGACACATCGAGCCATGTGAGCCGGGCCACCGACACATCGGACCGTGTGAGCCGCGCCACAGACACATCGAACCATGTGAGCCGGGCCACCGACACATCGAACCACGTGAACTGCGCCACAGACACATCGAACCACGTGAGCCAGGCCACAGACACATCGAGCCATGTGAGCCGGGCCACCGACACATCGGACCGTGTGAGCCGCGCCACAGACACATCGAACCATGTGAGCCGGGCCACCGACACATCGAACCGCGTGAGCCGGACCAGCGACACATCGAGCCGCGTGAGCTGGGCCAGCGACACATCGAACTGCGTGAGCTGGGCCAGCGGCACACCGATGGTGACGTCAGCTACCAGCACCTGCTGGGGAGGAGAGACGATGGAATCGGAGCAGTGGCTGGGGCAGACGCACGGATAGTTAGGCCTGAGGGGCTCGTGCCGACTTTGAGCCCTTTGCTTTCCGCATACTGAACGTAACCATACCACGGAAAAATGTCTTAAAGTTATCCGTGTTTTTCATAGTCGCAATACAATCCCTTTAAATAAAAATGAAATCCCATTAAAATCTCAAACGGTTGACACCCCAGGACAAGATGCATTTCGGGTGTATGTTGGACTATTTCCAAGACTCGGGCCTTTTCAAGGCTCACGTAGCCCCGCACCTACGCCATTACCGCCGGCCCTGGTGAATGGAAGGACCAAATCCAACGCGCACGTCCCGAGGACGGAAAGTGGCAAGTGTGCGTGTGCCTTGGACAAGGACGAAAGAAAAGGGCGGGTGGGATCGCCTACCACCGAGTCACGTCTTCCAGCATATGAGCATTTATGGGAGGAAAAAGACTGCGTTGTTCATTGCAATTTCCACAGATATGGTTGTCTCATAGACTTTAGGGTGTAATTCTCCAGAAAGGAAGCAGTTCACATGACATGTCTTCGCCAAGAATCCATCACAATTTATTCATTTACATCATTTCGTAATTGTCAAGTTACCTCCTCATCCTATCATCTCACGCACGTGGCTATGGAAATGTGGTGCCCATAGCTACTATATGGAAATGTGGTGCCCATAGCTACTATATGGAAATGTGGTGCCCATAGCTACTATATGGAAATGTGGTGCCCATAGCTACTATGTGGAAATGTGGTGCCCATAGCTACTATGTGGAAATGTGGTGCCCATAGCTACTATGTGGAAATGTGGTGCCCTATGCCAGCCACTCTTCTGTCAGTCCGACCGTGACAGCTGGCTGCGTATTGATATCGATATTGATATCGATATTGATATCGATATTGATCGCATGCTGCCCGCCTTGGAAATGCATAGAAGTCGTAGGCACAGTGCAATTTCAGGGTCCCGCGTGTCTGCCAAGCGGAAACGGCCGTTTCCACGCGGGGGTAAATCCCAAAACAGACCGATGCCACTATAAGGCGTGTTCTGCATCTTCGTGCCTTGTAAATAACTCAGTATCCGAGCTGAAAGTGGGTTCACTGGACAGCTTGCAAGCCTGTTGGTTGAATGGAGCAGTACCGGTGGTGAGACATGTTGTCAAAGGTTTGACCCACCATCCGAATTCGCATACTGAAACCTGTCTGGCCATCTGGCTGTACCAACACGCAGGGGCAAGCGAAAGGGAGGGGCTGCCCCTCAGCCCTATAAAAGCCTGCATTTTACCTTCATCACTGTAGATCGCTACTGGCACAGAAAGTTAAAATACGACGTCGGGTTTCTTACCGAGGTCCATCCCCCCACCCCCGCTTTAAAATATTGACTGCGTCCTTGCCCACATGTATCCAAACGGAAAGCGACGAGACGCCCTTTCCCTGCAGTGTCCGGTGAAGTCACGCATGCAGGTCTGCTACCCAATCACCTGGTGGTCCGACGCCAGGCGGAGGTGGGTACGGCAGCGGGAACGACCACGGGGGGGGGGGGGGGGGTGGGATGCCGAGGCCCGCCGCCTTCACGTCCACCACTCCCCAATGTCTCCGCCCGTAAATCCGGCGCTGCCTTTGTCGCCGCTCTTCGGCTGGACAGCCATAAAATCGCGTAAGCGGCTATCGTCGGAGATCCGCACGAAGCTGCCCCGATCTGTCGGCCCCGACTCGACGGCGATCACGGGCGCGCCCAGCATCGCAGGACAGGTGAGGCGCGGGCGGGGGGGGGGGGGGCGGACGACGGGACTGAGCTGGGTCAGCAGTTGACACCCGCCTGAGCGCGACGTGCACGAGTTCACTCTTGGAACGCCGCTGCCCGTGATACGCCGTAGTAATCCGAACCATCGCCCCCTCCCCTCCGTCCCCCCCCCCAATACCGGCACGAATCGCCTCTGAATAAAACTGAAATTGGGCTGATATCAGGGGTAAGGTGGTGGCCTCAATGGACACAGTTTGGGCGTCTTTATTGGAACTTGTCCGTCCAAGGCTACCGGCTCCCTAAATCGGATAAAATGCTGCGAAATCGGATGTCTCGGCAGACGGTGGCGTTGTGGAATAAATTTGTCAACTCAAGGTCTTCCGCTTTGGGAAATTCGTCTGGATTATGAACTCACGGATGTTGGAAATTCGGCCCTTCTCTTTTGGAACAGGAATTAACCAGAAAAAAGCGATGCGGGAAAGCAGCTAACACCCTATCACCCTGGTTGGCAGGTAAGCCGCGCTCGGCGGCACGTTTCGGAGAGCCTGTCTGTTGATGCTTGATTGCCACACATTGGGGCTGAATTATTAGCCCCAATATCAGCCCCAACATATTGGGGTTGAATTAGCTGGCTTTCCGCAGACGCTCGCTCATCTACCCAGCTTCCTGTGGAAATCCGTGAGCGTGCGATGAGACCGAGCACACCGCTGATTGCAGGGAGGGCGGCTTAACACGCGCGTGGTGCGTGCAAGTCTAAAAGCCGCCTGTATGCACAAGCGCACGAGTTGGATGCAGCGGAACCGCTAGAAATCAGAACAAATTACAACGTTGCATCACTGGCACACGTACAGTGGCACACAATCATCCAGTGCATCACTTGGTTTGGACACATGGATATTTACTCTTGCAAGTGGCGATTTACATGGAGATTTACTCTTCTATGGGTATTGAGTGCAACATGAGCCCCGTCGGTCAACGCATACACGTTCTGACGGTCCCCAGCAGTCTCTGGCGGCAGTCCTCCGCCAGGAACGTCCTCAGTTTGAGGGGGATTCTGTGGATCCAACAATTTGCGCTGTTGGCTGGTCAGCAGTTCGGTTATCACCGGGTTTCCTTTTTTCAAAATTGCAAGCTTCCTTGTCC